CTATAGTACAACTTCAACTACCACAACATCTTCATTTCATTGGCGTAACGATTAGTAAGTAATAATTAGAACAGGCAAACTTGACATTGACTTTGATGATTTCTCTTTGCTCTTACAAAATTAAGGGCTCCCACCATCTGCAATCAAAACAAGGACAACCGACCAGTCTTACAAAATACAATTTTTGAATTTAGTGTCGTTTTTTCTGTGATGTGATAGAAAAATCTGAACGAAAAAATAGAAATTAGGCAAAAGTGACAGTCTTAGACAAATTGCCAAACGAAAAACAGTTAGAAAATGGCTAGAAAAACGAAGAAAAAAACGTAGAAAGCATTTGAAAAAATTCAAAACTTCTATATTTTTTTTGCCGAAAATTGTTGAATGTTTGGAATTTTTTATTCCCAAAATGGGGCCAAAAATTAAATTAATTTAACTAATTTCACTCCAGTGAAACTAAGTTTTCAGGGCTAAATTTCAGCTTAAATAAGCTATTGTAAGTCTGCAGGCTCATTTTATTAACTCGAAATTAGACCTAAGATCAAAAATTTCAAACCTGTTTTTCTCAACACTGGGAATTTTTTTGAACTTCTTTAAATGTCGCTCGAATCACGACTGAAAAAGCTTTAATATAAAATATCTCTGGACCCATTCCAATGATTCAATGATTATTTGTGTAACCTGATTTTACTGGAAAACAAGAAAAAAAACGAAATACTCCAGAATACAAGTTCCTCACATTTTTCAAACTGTCGGAACAAAAACCAAAAACTCATTTTTGCAAGGCCCAATAGTCAAAAAAGTAATATGTGGAATAATTCAAAAGACATTTGTTATGTTGTTATTGAGCTTTACCTCTCGTGAGAACAATAATTTCGAATCAATCGCACAATCTGCCCCCTCCCCCCTTAGTGACCTACCGATGAATATCCTACGCTAGCATGCATCAAATCTCAAAACTAACCCTGTATAAAATATGCATTTCATAAAATCGTGCAAAATGTAATTGTTCTGAAACTTTTGGAATTAATTGGGATTTTGATGGGCAACAATATAGTGAAATCGACTTTTTAACGATGCTTCGATAATTAATTCCATTATTTGGAAGACATTCACTTCAAAGTTCTCTTGTAAAAAAATTTTACGTTCTCCACCCAAAATCGATTTGGAGAAGGAGGCAATTGCACGGTTGATCATTAAATTGAAAATTCAACCAAACATGTTGCATACATCGTGATAACGATGTATGCGATGAGATTAAAGAGGAAAAACCCGAAAGAAACCAAGGATAGCGCAGAAAGTTCTGACCACTATTTAAAAAGTTTCTTTCTGCTCAAATTTTGATTTTTTTGTGGAAAGATGAATAGATATTAAAAAGCCTAGAACTTAAACATGTTCAACAGTAAAAGTAACTTAAGTATAATCCGCAACAAATTTCCTCAATAAATGAACAGAATAAAAACATCCAAAAACCAACCAACTTTCTCGCTTTTGCTCGCTCTTGACCAAAAGCTCGGGTTTTCAACAATGGCCAAATTTTTGAACAATTTTATGTTGTTCGAATCACGACTGAAAAAGCTTGAATATGATTTATTACTGAATCTATTTCAATGATTCCTTGAGCTATCCGACTTCGCGTGGAGAAAAAAGGAAAAAAAACTAAAACACCCAAAGACAAGGAGGAACACCCAATTCCTCCCTATTTTTCCTCCCCAAACAAGGCAACAACAGGCAATAAACCTGAAAAATAACCTGGTAAAAAAGTTGATTGGAAAATAATGTTTTTTACAAAATCATGTAAATCTCAACATTCAAAATTTTCATCCCCACGCATATCGTGACAAAAAAGACAAAGAAATGAGAGCAAAATGGTGCTGGGCAAAGTATATTAAACAAAAAACATTTTTACCCAAACTTAAAAAACTCAAACTTAAACGAGAGCTTCGTATGCCAGATGCTTTGTAACTTAGATCTACCTTGAATATATGGCAAAAACAGGAAATCATCATTAAAAATTTTAAGCATAGCAACAGACAGTTGAAAAAAGAGTATGAAAACTCAGCACGCCGAAAAAAACAGACGGAATTTTTCAAAGCATTTCAACTTGAAGTTTGAAAAGAAAAATATGTCACTCCGAATGAAAAATTTATGATTGACACTTACTTCCTAACAGAGGCGACGAACAGTTTCGCAGCACTCGCAATACAACACAAACAAAGCATTGCAAGCTAGCATGCAGAAAATAAAGACTTGAGCCTTAATTCCAATAAAATAAATTATTCCAATAATAAAAGGCAGCCACTAAATCCAATAAACTATTTTATTCCAATAAAAAATAAACATAGCCAAAAGGCACTCGGATAAGAGTGAAGGAACAGAAAAAAACGACTTGTTTTTTTTTTGAAAAAAACTTCAATTTTGGAATTTAACGAGGAATTTATGAGTCTCATGTTTTTATTCCGCAGGTAAATCTGGAAAAAAATCTACTTTCGAACATAATTGGAGAGCGCAACAACCTAACTTTAAGCAGAAGATATTGAACACTTGCCAAAAAGCAGCTCTATCGAGTGAAATAAAAAGTAGAAATAAGCCTCGAATTAACAAAAACTCGGCTATATGTCGGATTCGAATCTGCGACCTAGCAAATTTGAGTCTCACGCACCAACCATTCATCCACGGATGCTTAAAACACCCAAAAACTAGCCACCATTAGCGCAGCTACTTATGCTATCAAATTGCCAATTCGACGCAGCAAAAGTAGCACCAAATACAAAAGACACAATTTTGCATGTACTAAACTGGAAAGCATAAAGCCAAATTATCTATAAATTATGCATTTCAAAAAAATTGCGAAATACATTGAGTTAGAAAATTCCTGAAATCGAGCTTTTTATCATTGTACAGCTGTTGGAAACAAATAACTTTTTTCGGTTCATTTGATGAATTAAAAATGCATCAGATGAGTTAACTTTTTACTAATCAAATGTCAAAGCACATATGATATTATACTGGTACCGCAGCACACCGATTCAAAAGTGCCACCAGAAGTAGCACTTCTATTTGCAACTTAGGTTGGAAAAAAGTTCGTACTAATACACTTTGCTCCGCAAGTGTAATTAATCTCAATTACAGCATTTATACTTGGAAGCGTTCATAAATGCATTAAAATGTATTAATTCACTTCTGCAAAATATTAGGGCAGTTTAAGACGTTTCGTGAAAAAAGTAAAAAGAATCATCACGGCCAATATAAGAGTCTGAATTACCTTTATCTACTTTTAAAAAAAAAACATCTACATTAACTTCTTACATATGACTCAAATTATGTTCAAATAGAAGAAAACATGTCATTACACACTATAATTGACGTTAAAGGAAGCTAAAACAAGCACGCAAAAAAGCTCAATAGATGCCAGTTGATCCAAAACCAAATACTGTCATGAACATTCTGAGCTATTAATTTTTAAGATACCGCGGTTCTCCGAAAACACGGTAAAACATACTATATTTTTGACCTTGACACTATAAAAATGAGGCAACTACGTCAAGATAGCATACGACAAATCCGTTACGCGGCAAACGCGAGCGAAAAAAATGTAATTAAGCAAATTCTATTAGTTTAAATTAATTTCTTCTATCGGAAAAGATGCTCTGATGAAAAAATATTATGCGTTGGAAAGGAAGATGACAAAAAATTAGCAGACAAACGATAGTCCGACATTTCAAGATTTCCCGTCATGGTTAGACCACGACTCGAACTTCTACACGGTCAGACCACGACTCGAAACCTAGACCTTATGTTCTGAAAGCGATTTCTTTACCTTTAGACCAAACAAGATGAATGGTGTTGTTCCTTAATAAAGCAAGGTCAATTTCGTACCGATTTGAAGAAACCTTCTTGATAAAGAAAAATTGTTTGCAAGAAAAAAGTCTTTTTACCGATTACAAGTTTACTTGCTCTCGGAAGTGAAAAAAAATTGGATCAGTAGGTTAATTTTTTATTCCACTAAAAACTTTAAGAATTGAAATCAATATTTGAAACCAAGTCATTCACGTTTTATTGCGCCATTTGTTATTAGCGAAATTTGTCGCTCATTTCGTGAACTTGCAAACAAATCAGAAATACGGCCGCATAGAAACACATTCGCGTTTAACAATTTTCAAAAAAATTTCGTGATAAACATTTGACCAAATCAATTATCTTCACTTCGTCCATCGACACGTCACAGATGCTTGACAAACAGGCTTTAAATTAAGTGAATGCTCTTATAATACTCTTTTCATCCTTTATCGAAAGCCCGCGATGTTCGATCATTGGCTTCCTATCGACTCGAACATAACTATTTTAACATCTGGAATATAAAGCACACAAACTTGATAGTACTTTTCCACTTGTTATTAAAAAATCCTTTTAAACTTAAGTTCCAGATTTCTACCCATTTTAAAAGCTAAAAGACAGCTGAAAATTATTAACTAAGTCACTCGACAGTTGGAAAACTGATACTGAACCAAAATAAACCGGAAAAAACCAGACAGACACTTTTAATTTTTCAGTTTCATTAAAACCTTATACTGATTTCGAGACAATTAAAACATCACCATTGTTATTTTGAGTTCATCAATTTACCGACCAACTCAGCGAAAATTTCTCAATCTAAGGCGCCTTTTAAAACCCGCATATGATCGGCACTTTCTATAGAAAACTTGAAATCTACAAACTTAAATCCATTTTTGCAGTTTAAACCAAACTTCAATTATCGCGCAATTTGCACATCCAAAATTTGAGCGTGACCAAATATCAGTTTTTCGGAAAACAAAACAAAAAAAAACTACCTCAATTAGTGAAAACTAGTGAAAAACGCTAATTAATGAAGTTGGCATCAACACTTCGTTAACTGCAAGTAGTGATAGTATCTGCACTTCATTTAAACTTTCAATCTCGCAAACACCATCTTTTTTTTATTTATTACTGCTTTTCGTTCTTGAGAAAAGAAATTCGGATAATGTTCAACTAAGAATCTGTGATTCGACAGAAAAATCATCCAAGTAATTCACTATAAAGATCTCTAAGCAATTGTACATTAATATGAAGGCAGTCACATTTACTCTCACGTTATCAAATTCAATCTGAAAATTCAAAACAATTCCATCAAAATGATTCAAACTTGTCTGATTAATAATTTAGCGCTTTTTCGACCATTAATCAAATTTATTTTGAAATGTTTAATTTTGTATCACTTTTTACATTCTTCAGTCCAATATTCGCGCCAAAAAAGCATACTCTCTCTGGTATCTTTTGGCGGAACACTTCGCTTATCTATAGAAGGCACTTCAACTTCGTCATCTTCGGTTTGCAATGGTTTTGTAACACTTTCATCAACCGATTTCAAAAATCGCAACTGCTTCCAATACTTTCTGTGGTGCCAAATTGTTTCCAAAATACCTGTTCTGTGGTACGGTTTCAAACTTGCATTTCTAAACTTTGTAGGCAGTTTTGGACAAGGTTCTCTTAGAAGAGTTCTGACGCATTGCTCGCTGCAATCTGCAATTGACTGGAGATTATAGCCGCCCTCAAGAGCTAAAATCACCCGACCAGAAGCAAATGCCATTAGCATGTGGGTCATGTGAGCGTAGCATTCGGCCGACACGAGTTGGCCTCCGAGAGGATCTCCGTATGCCGAGTCAAACCCAGAAGAAACTGAAACAAATAGGATTGACATGAACAAATTATAAAATTGAAGAGTACCTATTCAAGCTGAAAAAAAAACATGCCATCTGACCCATTGGAGGCTGAGCTAGCATTGCTGCCTATGATTAATCTATTTGCACATTGATTTTCGCGCATGTGATCAGGGTCGTAGCTAGGATTTTCTCGAAGTTTGGTGGATTTTTCCAAAAGTTTGCAAAAATTTGGAAAATCAACCAGTTTGGGAAAAAAATTTGAGAAAGTTGACCACATTAATTTTCCGAGCACTCACAAAGCACTAAAGAGACACTGATTTGGTCAATTTTTTTGCGCCGCCGGCAAAATTTTGAAAAAAAAACAGGGCAAAATGCGTTTTTACGCATTTTTGAACAGTTTTAACCAAGAAATCGCGTTTATTCTGCGCGCGCTCCCCCTCAAATATATTATATATAGTCGCCGAAAAAATTCCATGACCAGCCACTCAAAAATGAAAGCGTTGAAATAGCAAAAAAGTGGGGTATCCAGGGGATCAAATCACCGAGGGGGGGGGGGGCGTCCGCGCCCCTTAATCCGCTAGTGCACGCGATGTATTCAAATTCTTGATATTTTGTGAAACTAAGGTGAAAATCATAAGGAGAAGTCCAAGAAGCCTTACCTCAAAAATATACAGTTACAAGTAAGCTGGTAAATGTTGGTTAAGCAGTTGCTAGCTGAGGCTCTGATTCTATCCAAAAAATACGACCTTCCAGAAATTGCTGGTTTTCGAGAAAACGCCTTTTTTGTTTTAAAAAAAATATGAAATTTTCCAACTACTTACAAAAAAAACGTGCTGCTTAAAGAACTATCTATATTTACACATTAACGTTCTATGTCTCAGTCAGTATATAATGGGTAGACATTTAGTGGGCATCTAATTTGCCCTTAGTCTATCCTCTTTAGATTGTACGTATGTTTACCAAAATTTGATTGCGTAATTTATTTGATGTTTATTTTGTAAATGTATTTGTATGTCTGAAGAAATAAATTCTTTCTTTCTTTCTTTCTATGTAGTAACATGACGATTGTATTTCTATTGTCTTTTTTAATTAGGTCCATACCTTTGAGGTCGATACTAGTTGAACGAATGTGCTGTTTTAGTTATCCTTGACGCCATTATCTCTCTTCGTTCATTACAAATATGTACCATTTGAAGCTAAAATTTAATAACTTACCCAATACAAGATGCGGATTAAATTCGTACAAAATTGGCAGAATCAAATTCGTGAATGCCGCAATGTATTCAACGTCTGTAGCCTCCCCTACCAACCAGGGCACATTCACATTGAACCCCTCCCCCTTTCCCGTGCCCACTCTATCCGAGTTGCCGTCATAGCCCCCCGGAAAGAACCAACCATGGCGATGTAAAGAAATGTAGAGAACATTGGGGTTGTTTTCGAACTGATGTTGGGTTCCGTTGCCATGGTGCACATCCCAATCGAGGATGAGAACTCTCTGAACTTTTGAGTTGTAGTTGGTGAGTATATGTTGGGCAGCCACAGCTGCGTTGTTATAGAAACAGAATCCGTATTCTTTATTCACCTGTAAAACATTATCTTCATCACCTCATATCTAAACGTAACCAAACATTTAAAACGATGTCGGGCGCCAGAAGTGACTCAACCTTAAGATCTCAAACCCTCGACCCTAACTTACAATATTAATTAGACAACCTTATCTTTGTTTTTGGTACCCTCAAGCTTGTGGGGAGAAAAACACGTCCGTGAGATGCAAATTAAAACCCTCAAAAATCTATACAAAAGGCAGCTTTTCTTGAATATTTGCTCAAAAGTTTGTGTAAAATTATAAGTCTGTGAGAGGCTCACTTCAGCTGCTACTCTATATCGTTCTAGAACTAGCAAATATTGAGCTACGATGGCAAACTGAAATTATTATCAGAATAGCGCGAGCATTCATACAAACATAGCCAACAGAAAGTTGGAAAACAGTCAATGAACGGAAGATAAAAAAAACTGACTTGATTATTGAAAAAACTTTTTTGAATGAATTTTTTGAATTTCAAAAAAACGGCTTTAAAGCTCTTTGAATTTCCAGAACCATTTATTATTGGCACTTTTATTTACATTAACCCAATTTGAGAAAACTGGGCCAATAGGTAAATGTTTTATTCCACAAGGAAAACTGAAAATTGAAATTCTCTTTCGAAATTAGAAGTCGATTACGTTTTTTGTGACCTTAACACTATGGCTGTTCGGTAGTGGAGATTACCTTCCTTTCAACAAGGAAATGAAGTGAACTTATAAATAAATCGCGAAAAATCAACTGGAGCGTGAACAAATTTGAAGATTTTTGCCTGAAAAAAAAACAAACAAACTAATCACCAAGACCTATATAGGAGTATTCACTACGTCCATGACTCTTAAACAAACAAACCAGTTCAACAAATAAACCTAACCTCTGCGTGGTGACCAGGGGGTCTAATATTGGCAAACCCAGCTGATATAGTCCCACTGTCTGTCACAATCATTGACGTCAGACGCACCAGAGACCCAGCCGAGACCTGAGCACTGCCGTAGGAGTACTTGTTGTGATAGATAGATCCCAGACAGTGATTCTGCAAGTACAATTTTTCTGATTCTTTAGAGTACTCGTCAACACAGTGAAGCTCTTCGAAAGCTTTCAGATAGTCTTCGTTATGAACTAGATTCAGAGTTTCGAACTCACAGTTCTCGCCACGTATTAAGAGACACCTGTCAAGCAATCGACTGGCTAAAACATGTAATGGGGTGATTGATTTATACTATCTATACTTTTCAAACCCAAGATTTTGGCTGATATTTTAATTTTGACACAGAGGCGAAGCTGAGCTTTGCAACACTTGCGATTCAAAAAACAAATTGCTCCACAAAATAGTGAATGAAAAAAAGACAGAAGCCAAAAAAAATCGTGAAAAATTATGCTGGAAATAGCTTGAAAAAATAAAAATGAAAAATTACAGCTACAAAAACTTCATATTTGTATCCAATGAAGTTCATAAACAGCCCTTAAAAATAGAAATCATTCACCGATCGGCACCAAATTTTGGGTCGAAACCTGTTGACCCGAAAACAAAAATGTTGTCATAAAAAATCTCCTAAAGTTCAAAAGTTTTTGCGACCCATCCAAACTGAAGCAATCCCAAACGGATTTTTTTGCCCTAGAAATTAGCAAAATAAGATGACAATTCGATATACCATAAACTGAAAATGTTTGAATATTTGAAAAAAAAACTACAAAAAAATGAAAAAAAAACTCAAAATAAGACATGGTAAATTTACAAATTTGCGAAGTTTCATTTATAGTATAAACTGTTTAAATTAGATTAAAATCAGGCTAAAAAAAACAAAACCGATAAAACTCTTATCAGATTTTTAAAAAAAAGCGTTTTAAAAAACGGCTAATGAGCCGACAGAAACTAGTATGAAAATCACGAACCCGAAAAAAGATGAAAAAAAAAACTTTTTTTGAAAAGATAATGACAACATGAAACTTGAAAAGAAAATTACAATCTGAAGTTAAGACCTTTGAAGAGATAATTACAACCTGAAACCAGAAGATCCTCTAGAAGTGAAAATTCTCTAGAAGATGAAATCGTCTAGATGTGGGGAAAAAGTTGTTTACGGGAAGAAAACACTTGCGAGAACACGAACAAAAAGCAGCTCTATCAAGTTAAGTAAGAAAAGTAGAAATAGGCCAGGATTTAGCAAAAACTCGGCTACAAGTAGGATTCGAATCAGATACCTACTGCAATCAAGAGATTTTGAGTCTCAGAGTCTCACGCACTTTCCCCTCAGTCAGTCAAGCTTAACAACCGACAAACACTAGTCACGAATAATAAAGCTATATTTGCTAACAAATGCCAATGCGATTCAGCACCAAATACAAATAGACTCAATTTTGCAATTAATAATTTGGAATACAACAAACTGAAGGCATCCACACTAACTTTGAATGTAACAAATCACAAAGCATAAAGCCATATTTTATAAATTAGGCATTTCGAAAATTTGCGAGATATATTGAGTTAAAAAATTTCGGAAATCAACTTTTTATTATTTTGATAGTGTTTGAAACAAATAGCTTTTCTCGATTGATTTGATGAATTAAAAATTCATCAACTGTGTTAATTTCTTACTATTCCAATGTCAAAGCACATGCTACCAAAAAACTGCAAAGGTGCTCCAATATTATTGGGGTGCCGCACCAATATTTGCAACTTAGGTTGGAAAAAAAGAAGGTTCGCTCTAATACACTAGCTTCGCATGTGTAATCAAGTAACAAATACAAACCAACTCACTCGTCTGACCATTTTAAATCTTCGCAGTTATTAATCTCGGGTCTAGGACAACAAGCCGACGGGACTTCAAGCCGAAGGGACTTCAAGTCGAAATTTAAACATTACAAGCACCTAAAAACGCTTAATTTTTATCAACAAAATGTTTATTTTAAAAAAGTAGGCAAGTTTAGTTCACCGTAAGCGTTCTTCATAACAATGCACCACGTAAGAGTGGCATCAGATAGTTGGATCAGCCGGATTTTGAAATTCATAATTATTATACACATGAAAAAACCCATCAACAATGTTTTAATTTTTAAGATTAAATTTTTAATTATAAAGTTTTAAGTTGTTAAGCAAGCTGATGAAATTGAGAAATTCTTCAAAACAATTTTCATCATATTTCAACTTTTTTTTACAAAACGTTCGGCTTGTGCTCCCTAATTATACGATTCGGCTTTAAGTCCCGTCGGCTTGATGTCCGGCACCCATTAATCTCGCATTAGAAAAAAACCAATCGCTTTTAGCTATTCGCATATCATCAATATTTTCCAAACTTACGCAATCTCAAGTACTGTGTTTCCAAGAAACAATCAAAACAAAAACAAGCGATTCTATTTTCAATCAAAACCTATTTCCCCAACAGTAAGAAATTAATCATCTTACTTGATAGACGTGTATTTATGGAAGCAATTCGCTCTGGTTTCTCCGGATGTGACGGATCCTCCTCGTATTTATGCCTCAGCATTTTAGCATCGAAGCAGTAGCCAATCTTCCTATCATCCGCCAACTCATCTTTCAAGTCACAGCTGAACTTAGATTTAGAAAACTTGTAGCTAGGCAGCTCTTCTTTTACAGACAGCCTATAACCTTCGATAGAACAAGGATCCGTGTGACTTATAGCTTCTTCTGACTGCTCTTCTTGGAACTGGAAACACGTCCAATAATCACCGATGACTCCAATGACATCCAAAATAGTTTGAACAGCACTGGAGTTGATATCACCAGTTAACTGCAGGTTCGGAGGGGGTAAACCTAGGAGAACTTTAACAACAGCTTCAACACAATTTGCCACAACAGGTGGGTTGTAGCCTCCTTCTAGGGTAACAAGCATGTTTCCATTAGCGACTGCTTTCAGGTGGTGTGTCATATGCGCGTAACAGGCAGGGGACACTTTCATATCACCTTCAGGGTCGCCCCCATCAGCACTATCGAATCCAGCCAAAATAACAACAAAATCAGGCTCAAAACTATACGCTAATGGAAGCACAATCTGCAAAAAGGCAGCCATATATTCTTCGTCTCCTAGTCCCGTTTCGTCCCAGGCTATGTTGACGTTGAAACCTTTGCCTTTATCCGTTCCTATGTGAAAAATGTCTGACTCAGGGAGGTAGGGGAAGAAAGTGGCTCTTTGGAAGCTATGCATGCTAATGTAGAGGACGTCGTCTCGTTCGTAGAAGATTTGTTGGGTGCCTTGACCATGGTGAACATCCCAGTCAAAGATCAACACTTTTCCAACTCCATTTTTTCGGTTATCTATCAGATTCCTTTTAAATACAAAAAACATCAAGATAAAGCTAGAGTAGCTATTCAACTAATCAAAATTTATTGTCAAAAACTATTGTTAGTTACTATCCTTTTTTATGAAATAACTGATTTAGTTGCACAGTAATATAGTGGTTCCAGCGGTGCAAAGCCTCCCGTTTTTGAGAGCACAGAAAGCACAGTACTATAGTTTTCGAACACGTTTAATGAAAATGAACAATGTTCATTCATAATCGCTTCAGACACATTTTCTAATCCAATCCCGCATTAAAATAATTCTTGTTGAGTTAAATAATCGTTGTTCTCTTGGCAAGTTAACCGAATGCACGCAAAATTTGAACCAATCAACGTCCTTTAAATTACCCAAAACTGACTGATTATCACGCTTATTTTACGCATATTTTATAGAATGTGAGAAAGCTAAATACTGATTGGCTGATACAATTTTCGGGCATTCGAGCCTTCTGGCATGAAACACTCCCCTCAGTAAAATATTTATGCATAAAATCTCATGGAACATGATTCTGAAAATTCAGGTTATGCAATTTTGTTATGAAAATAGCGTTCATGCAAGATGATTTATGAATCTAATTTACGAAGTTCCTGATAAGTTTATAAGTCAAAAATAAGTCTATGAAATCAAGAAAATGATTCAAACGTACTGGGGTTCCACTCACATGACAGCGATTGCGACAGTGTTTAATATGCAGTACCCACTTGCCCCCATCTGCTGTTCCGAGTGGTGACTGGGTGGTCTGACTAGCGCAAATGCATTCCTCAACGATCCCATCGCCACTTTCTGTAAACCATGAAGACTATTTACCACAAGGTTGACTACGAAAGTTTTTTCCGTTTTTTTTTTACATTTTAAAACAGTCTTAAAGTTTTAAAACATGTTACAACAGTTTAAAGCAGTTTTAAAACAGTACTACAGGACAGTTTTTATCAGCTGAATAATGAAACATTTTCGAACTTTGAGGGCAATTTTCAAAAACCTTCATTATGACTTTCTTCATTGCGGATTGGATCAATTTTTTGACCACCGAACATCGGAAGTAAAAACACAGCTGCAAACCTTACATCTGCCGGCCAAAAGAAACAATTGTATATGGCTTACTTGTTTAAAATCTGTTACCTTCCGGATGTTTAAGAACAGAGAAAAATTTGCCTGGCTTTAAAACTGGTTCAAAACGGTTTTAAAACACACTGTTTTGAAACGTTCCAGCACTGATTCACCCACGTGTGAACAATGAATCAGTGGTTCAACTCTTAATTAATTCTCTACCGCTCCTTTGAATAGTTTCATAGCAAAAATTACATCATCTTAAAGCTCTTGGAAGCTCAAAAATCTTTCATGATTGCAACTTTTTCAATTAAACTACTTAATTTGCAAAAACTGGATCAATAGCCAAGTTATCTATTCCTCCTCAGAAATTAAAGTCAAGCTCGATTCTTGAGAGATTTTCCCTATCGTTAATAGAACTGCCTTTGCTTTTCTTGAGTTTGAATTGAACTCAAAAATACATCAAGAGTTAATTCGCATAAACATAAGTCTTAGCGTGAGCTAACTTTAATTATTTTTACAGAAAAAAAAATCGCTTACTTGTTAACATTTAAACGTTTTTGCAATTTTATAATTGAAATAACGGGAAAATAAAAATTACGACTGATATCTTTTCGTTTTGTTTGACTCGAGAAATCATTAATCCCGCCACCAAAAAATGATGGAACTAGATAAGAAAAATTACAACGCATAGTTAATCAACATTACTAACTAATTAACTTACATTACAACAGTCAATCAATTGAGCCGCAACTGTCTTGGCATAGTCGAACGAAGACTCGCACAAACTGACACACTCGAATTTCTCCGTCAAATCAACCAATTCCTCTTTTGACATGTTCTTGCTCGATTCCATCGCTGTAATATAATTTTCATCATGACAAGTTAGCATTTCATGCTTTGTGCTTTTTCTCGCATTTATAGTATCTGATACTTGCAGATATTCTAAGACTCCTGTCTCTTTTAATCGCTCATACGCAAGTGTAACTCTTTCACATCTTTCGTAGTATTCATTGTCATCTGTCAATATTCGATGTTCTTCCACTCCTGGTAAATAAACAAGTCCGGTTTTAGGTGGTGCTCTCGGATCCTGAGCTTCTTTCTTGGATTCAGATTTTTTCTCGCTCTTCGGCAAGGTTTGATTTTCATTCGATTTAGATTTTGCTTTGGATTTCGGAGTAGACCGGGATGTACCCTTCGAAGTATTTGATTCATCATGCATATTAAACTGAAAGAACTAACTTTTTTGAAATTTTCAACTGAATTTATGATTTCTGAAGCGTTGAATTTGAGCGCATCCGAACAAACTGAATAAACAGGAAAATTAGGAAAAAGTACACCTGGATTAAAATTAAGCAAAAAGCAAAAAAACTCGATTTCTCCTAAAAATGGGTAAACTTAATTGATTTTAAAAGAAAAAAAAATCGATTATGATTTGACGCGCGAAACTTACCGCTAGCCTATGGGCCCGTAGTATAAACTTCATAAATATAATGAAAAATATAATGAACTTATAATACAGGAACGCAGATAAAGAAAAACGCAGAGATGAACGAACACTTCGCAAATCTTTACGAACTTGTTAACATTATAAGATGCTCTTAGAAGATAAAGTTCGGGACTCGATTAACAGACCACTAATTTGTCTATTCTGTAAGATGCGAATTTGTTTCCGGAAAATTCGAAAACACTACATCTACAGGGAATAAGCACAAAATTCATGGCCTGCAAATGCAAACTTCAAGCCACCCGCAAAAAACTGAAACACAATATTCTCTTCCCTCAGTCATTGCATATCTTTCTTCTTAACTTTCTGCAGTTTACTTGGGAACGTGGATTCAAGTGAGGCTTTAAAAACTGGGTAAAATTTTCTAGTATGAAGCAAACACATCAAGAGTAAAAACGAATCGGGGAACCCACTATCTCCGTCGTTCACTCTGCAAGTTCGTTAAAAAATTGAATTATTTTTCTCGGCATTGAAATAATAACTTTTCTCGGCATTGAATAATAATTTAGAATCCAAGCCAAGTCTAGATAAACTTTATCATGATGTAATACCTAATCAGCTTCCACGTTTCCATTGAAATCCTGCAAAAATATCCAAATAATAGACCCCAAAAATCGACTGATCAGAAGTATTTTCAAAAATGTTTGTGACTTTTAAGCTCTTTGAGTTATAAGAATCTTTTATGGTTGACAGTTTTATGATAAAAGTACCATGAAAAACTATTAAACTTAAAAACTTTATTCCGCTGATAAATCGGATGAAAAAAAACAAGAATAGCCAGTTAATGCGCAAGTAGCACAAAATGTTCCTGGAAAAAGTAATGAACGCATTAAACTGAACAAAAAAAAACTGGTTTGTTTTTTCAAGAGCCTTCAACTTTTAAATTTCGAAGAAAAAAATAGATGGCCTTATAAGTCTTTCAATTTGTAGAACAATTTATGGTTGACACTTTTTTGTTAAAATAAACCCTATTTGAGAAAACTAGATCAATACGTAAGACTTTTATTCCGCAGGGAAAACTGAAAATTAAAATCCACTTTTGAAACAAGAAGTCGATCACGTTTTTGGTGACCTTTATACTTTTGCTAATCGATAGTGGAGTTTGCCTTCCTTTTAACAAAGGAAATGCACTGAAATTAAATAAAATCACAAGTCAAACCGCGAAAAATCAAAATTGCGAGTTAACAAATTTTAAGATTTTTTCCTGAAAAAAAAAACAAACAAAATCAGCAATACCTATATAGGAGTACTCACTGCGTTCATTACACTTAATCAGAAAAAATATTTAAGCGTCAAAAATTGAAAGTTTTTATGAAAAATAATGATAAAAAACCACAAGGCATGGTTGTTGACACTTTAAATCAAAATAACTCACTCTGAAAAAATTTGTTACCCTCAGCTAAAGAGTCAAATGAAATAATGATTTGTGTATACATGAAATTATGGGATGAAGAGAAAGGACAAAAAACAAGAAAACTCGAAAATATATCAAATTTTTCCATGAATTCAAGTTAATCGTGTTCAAATAGGTTGTTAAAGGCAGTTTGGTGCGTGTTTTAACGTGTAAGAGCGCAGCAAGCAAAAAAAAGACATTTTGTTGAAACTTGATTATATTTATCGCTCAATACTATTGTCAAAAATCTGCGTTTTATCAATTTTGCCACAACTTTTTTAAAGTCAACCAATCCGGAGGCCTAACCCGAAGGTTAATTATTTAGATTGACAAGAGCGCATACAACTAGCACCGATTAAGCTATGACTTGCTTGCAAAAGGTCACCTTGCAAATTGCAGCGCACGTGCGATTTGAACCAGCAATCATATGAGTGCTGGACACCATCATCACTGGAGTGCCAAAATTGCCGTTTTCTTGTTTCGCCCACCTTTAGTCAAAGAACTTTGTGTTAACGTTTTTACCCAAAAAAACGAAACTATTAATTTTCGAAAACATCGTTCGCCACAACCTGCTAGACTTGCCAATTTTTCCTTACTTATAAACTTCAGTATCTACGATGTGATGACAACGATCTTCGTATAAAAACATCCATGATCTATCTATTTTCCAAATATTCAAAAATAATTTTACACTTTTAATTAAATAATCTAAATAATCTACAGTCCATTCATTGAAATAACAGCACTGTTCTTATTTTGCGACAAATACACTCAAAATAGTAGCTGTCGATGCAATGTTAGCAATAAATGAGATCAAGCCACGGTCGTTGCGATTTGACTCAATGGTTCGTCCAGATGTTGTTTGAGAGCATCCAGCTTCACCTTCAGCATTCCAAGCGGGGGCAGTTGGCTAGCTGGATTTCCCCTAGTAGAGCAGTACATACACAAAAGAAGGCCTCCATGGCCTACGCTTGTAATTGCAATTCTAAACACGAAAACAGTTTTAAACACAGAGGCGAAACTGAGCTTCGCACCTTTAGTGATACAACAAGTATCAGATTAAAACAGCCTGACAGTGAAGAAATTTTTTCATGATTAAATTTGAATAAAATTGCGGGATACATTGAGTTGGAAAATTTCTGAGCTTTTTATCATTGTACTGCTTTTGAAACAAACAACTTTTTTCGGTTCATTTCATGGATTAAAAATTCATCTGCTGTGTTAATTTTTTACTGCTATTATACTGCTACCGCAGCCTACTGATTCAAAAAAAGCCAACAAAAGTAGAACTTTTATTTGCGACTTCGTAGTAAAACACTCGCTTCGCATGCGTAAAAATTGCGTATAAATAACCATGCTGATTTATTAACCATGCTGATTACCATTTGACTATTTTGTCACCAATGGTATTTACGGGAAAAAATTCTAGTGCCTGATTGCAATACCCTAACTTATCGCAAGGGTAAATAGAAACCAGACTGTTTTATAGAATTTTGACATATTTTTGTAACTATTTATAGGTCTGAAAGCAACGTTTTCCAGACAAAAACTTATTCAGACTACATCAACAAGGTTAGTAAGTCGAGTAAAGTGTGTTTTGTGAGTTTTTCAGCGCTTTTTTGGAACCGAAAACTTTAATTCTTTTTGTTTTTCTTAAACTTTTTATATAGAAACTGTACAAAAACTATTACTACAAAAACTGTTACTGTTGTCCAATTCGCTTATTTTACTATGAGTGTCGAAAATGTTTAAGCTCTAGGTGTTCGGATCCTTTTATCACACCACGCAGAAAAAACGACACCAATCTAAAAAAAAATTTATTAATGCAGTTGTTAAGACTATGGTCGGAAAATTCTGTGCTACTAGCACAGTAACAGGTCATCCTTTTCAGTTTGGAAAAAAAGAATACAATTTCTCTCTACGAAACAGGAAAGTACTAGTTTTCATCCATGTTCTCTTAACGTTCAATTATAAAAACGTTTGAATTCAGAAAAATCATGTTTTCCCGAAACTTTGGTTGGACAAAGGGGAAAGAGTCTTTTCTAAGACACAGGCGAAGCTGCACTTCACAAACACAAGCGAGAATACGGCAAAGTTGAAAGAAAAGCAAAAATATTCCTATGGACCGGAACCGTTCCACCCACTTAGAGATTAAGAGTCCCACATCCTCACCTAGCTAAGTCTGTTGTATATACTGAAACACTAGCCAATAACAAAGCGGCTATCGAACACATGCTGTTAAATACATACAATACAGCAAACATGAACACTTTTAATGAATACTGTCATTTGCGAGACTTCTGTTGGAAACAGATTCGTAATAAAACGCTACACTCGCATGTGTGAACAGAGGTGAACATAAATTTCAAGAAGAAAACGGCAAGAATAGCCAATTAAAGACAAAACTGTAGGACAACACAAAAATGTCTTGAGAGGAACAAAACTTAAAAAAGAACAAGTACTAAAAATTTTTTGAGCCTAAGGAAAAATAATGGGCCCAATTAGTTCGCCTCAATTCACTTGAAGGTTTATTTGAGAATTTTTAATTTTGTAATAATAAACGGCGACCAAATAGCTGGCTTCTGCGTTAAACATTAAATAAACGTAAGCACTCAACAATTTTACAGAAATGATCACACTAGAAATAACTTTTTACGATTCAGTTCATCGCAGTTCAAGTTATTAAATGTCCCTCAAAAACCATTATTTCAGTAAACTTTGCTCAAAAATTTTGCACTTAAGTGTGCGAGGTGTGTATGAAAAAAAATTATACTCACTGCATAACAAAACACTCATTTGAATGCTCAGATGAGTAAGAAAAAAGTATAACAAAAGAGATGCACGCAAAAATAATTCAATGCTTGGCAGCTTTTCAAAATTTATTCAATAAGAAAGTAATTGTATCATTTAGCAGCCAAGTATATTCATAAATTATGTTGTCGCCAATCTATGAGATTCTATCGCAAAATAGACAGATGAAAATGAGAAAAATTTTTCTGGCTTTACCTTTTTTTGAAGTTTTCAATGCACTGAAGAAAATTAATCGACGTAGAAACTGAATTTTCAAAAACAACCGAGCCAAAATGTGACAATTTTATAACTTTGATCGATTGTTCGATCGATATGATCGATTGTTAAACAAACTTCAATGAACTCAAGGAAACTTATAAAAAATGCGAGTATCAGGAAACAAATTACGACGACACCTCAGGGCTATCATTAATAACTCGGTTATTTCACTTTTTTAACACTTAACAAACTTGAGAAAGCTGGATGAAACATAAAAAACTGGATCAAAAACTTAATTACAAACAAAATCAAATATTGAAAGACGCTAGGTGAAACAAAATTTTCGTATGTCTTGACAAAAAACAACTAGGTGCCCAGCTAAAGCTGAAGGAACGAGTTTGATATTATATGAATTTGCTAAACTGATGCGGCACGAAAAGTTTTGATTTCGAAAATTGGACTTTACCCAAAATCTTAGATGTTTCTCTTCTAAAATAAGTGAGAACATTTCTCTTCCAAAAAAAATAAGAAGACGCCGCTTCTCTAGGAACAATTATTGCAACCGGTTCATTCAACTGAATTTTCATTTGATTTGATTGTGTTAATATTAATAAAATTCTAAGAAACGGTCAAAAGACTTTCCACGAAACATATTTTTTTAAAGCAAAAAGCTGGTTGTGGCCGCTTAAGCAGATAAGATTCCCAAAACGGGTTTCTCGATTGAACACACCCTGAAAATTGGTATGCAGTTTTCTTGTAAGTTTCAAAACTTAGACTTGTTTGAAGGCCATAACTTTTTTCTTAGAGAAACTTGGCATAACCAATTATAAAAGTAGGCCTTCAACAATCTGTTGTTTCAACTCAACCTATGATATCAGATTTGACAGGATACTTGGCGAGAAAAGTCCAAAAAACGATCAACAAATTCAAAAATTTGACATTTCCGAGAATCATAGCTTTTTGTGTGAAGAAATAGGGCGTAGCCGCTTATGCAGAAGATATTCAAGCAACCTCTAAATTCGATTGAACCCGAAAACACAGATTTGGCAGGGTATTTCACACGAAAAGTCAAAAAATTTTACGCAACGGTCAAAAATGGGAAACTTGACTATTCCGAAGGCCATAACTTAATGTGTAAAGAAAATTTGAGAGAGGAAGACTTAACAAATTTGAGAAAGATTGTTACGTCTAGGCGTAGAGAGGGATAAACTACCTCTCTCAAGTGACATACATGAGAGGGCTAACTTTCGAGAAAACGAAATAAGAAATATGGGTCTAATATTCCCCCACAGACTTTTTCGAAGGCTGTAGACAGAAGGGTCAAGTAAAAAGAGACTCTAAGGGAGTATGTAGGCACAAGGCAGTACGCGATTTTTCGATTGATACCCTATTTGAAAATCAGAAGGATTTTCCGAGAAAAGTTAAAATTTTGCAAAAGGTGAAATAATTTTCCGAAGCGAAAAAAAAAGAAATTTCAATAACCGATTGGTAAATATACAACCAGCTTGAAAAAAGCGGAATGGAGTGTTAAAATTGTATTTCTCTTGAAACGACACAAAACTGGGTCATTAGGCCGATAAAAAAGGCCAGATTCTATTGGGCCGAGGAATTTTTTTAGCGAAAAAAAAGGAAATACAAAATCAAAGTGATCAAAATCACAAATTGTAGGAGAAAATCAATTACTAAAATCAACATCGAAGAAATGCAGGCAGCAATAAAAACGATTCCTAGATGCGACAACTAAGCCGACAACATTTAAGCAGACAAACAGGTCCTGCTCAGATTCCAGCCCACGACGTTTGCCTTCCCAGGCATATTCAGTAACTCCAGGCTTAGATGGCCGGGAATGTTCAGAAATTAGAATACATTATGAAACACAGAGGCCAAGCACCTCTTCCGATACAAAAATGAATGACTAAGATATCGAGCAAATGAAAAGACAAACCAAAATTTACAAAAATCAGAAAGTGTTTTTTATTGTTAAACTAAAGTTATAAAAGATAAAAATTCTAAACAAGACAAAAATTTCCTTGAACAAAACCACCTGCACCATTAGAAATTTTACAAACAGCTTCCAAAATGCTTTAAAAAACTGAACCTTTCTTCGGGCCATAAGCCGACAACAATTAGCAGACACGAAAGTCTGAAATATTCGAAAATTTTCAGTTTCCACAAAAAAGTACTGACAGTAACCGAACTTCTGGGATTTTTCGTCTCAAGCAAGAAATCAACCACTGCACCATATGCACAGAACATTCCTGCGATTTCAAAAAAAGAAAACAATTACAAAAAATTTTAATGAACAGCATGAAAAAAATCAAAAATTAGAAAAAAGGCAAAACTTCTTGGAACTGAATTAGTTGCTCAAAAACGCAACACATTGAAAAGTTTTTTAATTTGAGTAAAACGTGCCCAAATTTTAGGTAGACCTGGTGCTGCGGCAACTAAGTCGACAAAAAACAGAAGTCCAACAAAGATTTTGTGACGCGCGAAAATTTTCCGCTTACAAAAAAAACGTCCAGGCCAAATTCGAACCCTAGACATTTTTCCTTATAAGCAGGTGCGTTAGCTCTTCGCCACATGCGCGAATAACATCTGAATTTTGACTTCATATGAACCAAAGGTAAAATGATTCAAGTAATTCTGTTAAGCTAGTTGTTAACCCGAAAAAAGTCCATATTCCGGTTTGATTACGCTTTCTAATCGCAAGCGTAAAAACGACAAAAACAGCGTATCATCGAACCATTTTTAAAAAATGAATGAGTCTGGAAAAGTATCAATATTATCTGGAAGTGAAACTAAATAGAACGTTTTTTTTAATTGACAACGAAAAACCTAATAACACAAAAAATTGTTTCGTTTCGATTTTAACACATTGAAAATACTTCAAACTAAAGGAATACCACAAGTTAATCATGAAAATTAGCAATCAGCAACTCAAAGACAGAATAGAACAACAAATGCGTCTAGCAATTTTGAACAAAACAACCGAAAGTTATGAGTTGATTTGATTTTGATTTGACAGGAATTCAGGCTTCCCTGGTCTTCATTTTTGAAATGAATTTCAAGGTTTGAAATCCAATCAGAAAAAAATTTAAAATAGTAGGTCGAAAAACTCAAAAAAAAAATTAACAGAAAATGTGCAGCAAATACTAATGAGCTATTTTATCTGCTCCAAAAAGAATGGAGAAAAAACAACTGATCGAAACACCAAAAACAATAACAGTTTGAAACAATTATTTTCATTGAGCTGAGAAAAAAACTGAGAAAGTTTTGAAAATTTTTCAGGTTTATTTTTTTCATTTTTTAAAAATTCTCGAAAATTGATTAAATTTTTACAAAATTTCAGATTAGAAATCATTCACTCCCACATTATACCAAAAAAAAATAATTCAAAAAAAAACATTAAAGCCGACCTCTTCCAGCGCCGAAATTCTAACAAAATTTTCGGCACAGAAAAAATACTCTTGAAAAACTATTAACAGGAACCCAAAGCCCATAACAGGAACCCAAAGCCCAGACCTAATATGCAACTACTACACTAAACTATTAATCTCTTATATTAAAAATCCAACTAGCCCTTAGTTTTACAACGTTGTGCACTAGTTTCGCAACTAGAGTATGCGTTGGCCAACCATAATAAACAAGCATCTAGTTTTGAAATTCTGGCTGAAAAATCAAGAAGTGTAACATCTATCAAACACTTCAAGGTCGAACTCGCTCTTGTGAGCTCGACACTATTACTAGTTTTCCGACACCTATTACTGTGGATCCGGCAATCTTGGGATTGCCAAGCGAGTATGCTTGCACTTGGCTAAAAAGCGGCTTTGCTGCTGGAATAATACATTGAAAGTTTGTTTCAATACGCAAATTCTTTATGCGCGGCAAATTATCCGCACTCAATCGTTCTAAAGTGAATTAAGGCAAGCAAATTGGTTTATTCCATAAACGACTCAAATTTTGACACTTCGATATTATCAGCCTAAAATTTGTAGTTTGTCAATATTTCGTATTCCAGAAACAATTCGAGACCAATAAATGGGCAGTCGAAAACTAATGGGCAGTCGGATTATACGTAAAAAATCAACAGGCAAATTAAAAATTGATTTTATATTTCAATGCCCGAATGCAAAACTAAATTGGAGTAAAATTAAATAAAATTGGAGTCTTAGGAGAATGATTAACGTCTAAATTACTTTTAAGCATCTTGATAAAATTTTGGGAAAAAGTGATCAATTTCTCTCCTAAAGCAACCAAAAGAACAATACCAAGGCTGAAATAAAACGAAGAACTCAATAAACAGAAGTCGAGATATTGTGATTGGCTAAAAAAGATTGCTTTCATCCAAGAGTGAACAACCTACTAAATTCTGATTGGCAGAAAAAGATTCAACAACCAATTGAACAATCTACCCCTTTGTTTTTCTACTAGCCTGGCTTGTTCACAGTCCACAATCAGCACATACAGTGGGTCGGCCTCCAATGCAGCTATGTTCTGAGATGCCAGAGCCCACACAGTAGATACAATTGCCGACACAACACGAGGCTGCTGATTGGCCATCGAGTTTGGAGTTGCCGAGTTCTGGGGTGCAGATGCCGCGAGAAGAGCGCCTTCCCTGTTTAGCAACAGGGTGAATGAATCTCCTGAACTTGACCCCCTGTTGTTTCCGCCGGTTTCGACCGATGTCGAGGACTCATTTGCCTCGTTGAGCACAGCTGCTAATACTTTCGGTCTGAACATTTGCGACCGTTTAACTACTGGCGCTATTTCCAATTCGGTTTTTCAAATTTATCTGAAGTAATCAAACTGTATATAAATTGAGAAAGTTGAGAAATATAATTAAACTAAAAAAAATGAATTCAGTTATATTTTAATCAAATTAAATCGAATATATCGCAGGAATAAGTAGAAATATATGTATGAAATTAACGTGCTAAAAGAATAGTGGAAAATAAAAACAACTTTCTGGCAGCAAACTAATAAACAAATATAGCCACATTAAACAACAGTAAATAACATTTCGTAATCGTTTTCCGCATTGTGAAAATCTGAGTAGTATCCAATTGTGCCTTTTCCTTTCAATTGCGCTGATGTTTTCACAATATACAGCAATCACATCTTCGATTGCAAATTAGGTTCTCTTTTTTCGGATCATTGTACGACCGTAATTTAGTACAGATAAACCTCTAAGCGAAGCTCAATCAACTTTATCATTAGCCACTAGTCGCTTCATGATAGAGGGATCTCCAGTACCTCTGTTTCTATCATCGTCCTTGTACGCTGAAACTATGAAGGCAATTAAGAAGATATGCACGACTATCACTGCTACAATACTGGAGTAGATAGCACTGTCTTTTGACGTGTAACTCAGGGCACCTTGGAACAGGTATTGTTTCACGACAAAATAGGAGGATATAGGGGCGAAGATAATCAATAGACTGTAGAAAAACGTCTGGCCGAACGCTCCCATGTCAACGGACGGGTTTTATGTTCACTAAATGATCAATTGCAAGTTTCGCATCACATTTTTTCAATTAGTCTGAAATATTTCATATGTCAGTGACCTCAACATTCAATAATGGTTGCATCTCTTGAATGCAGTCTATTAGCCAGCTGCAACAAATTAACAGAGATGAAGGCAATCGTTCATAAAATTATGAGTAAATTTCAACTAATTTGACCGAGAATCACCTATGGCACTGCAAGAGCTCAGAAAACTCCGACTTAAGTAATCATTTTAAAAACAAACTAGCGTTTAACGCACCTCCGGTGCTTCGAAATTTTTCGACAACTCATGAAAAACCGCATATATTGGAAACAACATCTGCAAAATTTTAGTGTACTCTGACTGCAACCAATTACAGGGTTGGTAATTTCGAACTTATCAATTTTTTTAAATTCCCATTTTAAAAGTGTCATCTCGAAAACTTAAGGGGCCTCTGGAGAACTTTGAAGGCCAGATTTGCAAGCACTGAGAGCACCCTACCATAGGGTTAGGAATTCAAAATTTTGTGAACTAGGGGCCCAGCTGAAAGCTGGAGAGACCTGTTTGATTATTTTAATATTGATTATTTTAAAATTGTTTTAAAATTTCAGGTTTCTCAAGTCGATAGCGCCCTTCCTACGCAAAAAAAGTGAAAGAGAAGCTTATGCATTCATTGGTAACGCTTTGGTAAAAAGTTTTCATGAGGGAACTTTTCAAGTCCATGGGTGTTTCCCTAGGCAATAGGGGCCCAGCTGGAAGCTGGAGAGACCTGTTTGGTTATTTCAGAAAAAAACGTTATACAAATTAACTAGCGCTTTTTGAAATCGAATTAGCTAGCGCTTTTTGTTTTATTGAAAAAACGAGTTTGAAAAAATGTGGGTGGGGGGTGTAAGGTTAGCGAAATCGCAGATTGATTTCGGATGAGTTTTGTAAACTAATGTAGCAAGGTAATTGTGTGCATCACTCTGCCAGAATTGTTATACAATTCTGCCCAGGGAGCGGGACGAGGACCCGGATGCACTTTGCTCCCCACCCTTCTCAGGATTTGGTGAGAAATGTACCTGATGTAGAGAAAAACAACAAGCTGAATATGTCTTTACAAATCTATTCATGACCATCAATGATTAACATAACGTAAATAATTTAAAAATCATGGAAACATTGAAATCTTCCTTCGAAGATTGAAATCACTCAGGATTCGGCGAGGAACGTACCTGATATAGAGAAAAACAACAAACTGAACATGTCTTTACAAATCTATTAATGACCATCATTGATTAACATAACGTAAATAATTTAAAAATCATGGAAACATTGAAATCTTCCTTCGAAGATTGAGATCACTCGGGATTCGGTGAGGAATGTACCTGATGATATGATGAAAAATCTTACTATTAATTTTTATTCAGTATTTTTCATTTTTCTAACGACTCTTTAATTTTCGAATTAATTAAATTTTGTCCAAGCATTGCAAATATGACTATAATATGTTGACTATAACTGACATCACAAAAACGTTCTGGAACAAACCGACCTGATTAAAGAGAACTAGCGTAACTCGTGCAACTTCTCATTGGACTTCTTCGAACCATACAAAAAAACTCAACACAAAGCCAATAGCACCAAGCAAAAGCGAGAAAACGTAAGCATAGCGGATTCCATTGTCTAAAAAATACACACAATAAGTATATTGAATCCCCGAGACAAATTAAGGACCAGCCGCTTGGGCAGGGGAGTTTCCTACAACCTGGTCTATCGATTAAACCCTTAATCCCAAATCTGGATGGGTAGTTTTTGAAGAAATCGAAAAACTTTGAAAAAATGGCCTTAAAACCGAAAAATTGACTATTCCTAAGTGTATAGCTCTTCCCCTAGACAAATTAGGGACGAGCCGTTTGTGTATGGGGAGTTCCTACAACCTGGTCTATCGATTAAACCCTTAATCCCAAATCTGGACGGGTAGTTTTTGAGGAAATGGGAAAGATTTGAAAAAAGGCCAAAAAAGTGACTTTTCCTAAGTCTATAGCTCTTCCCCTAGGCAAGTTAAGGACCAGCCGCTTAGGCGGGGGAGTTTGCTACAACCTGGTCTATCGATTAAACCCTTAATTCCAAATCTGGATGGGTAGTTTTTGAGGAAATCGATAATTTCCGAAAAAATTAGGCAAAAAAATCAAAAAAGTGACTTTTCCTAAGTCTATAGCTCTTCCCCTAAGCAAATTAGGGACCAGCCGCTTGTGCATGGGAGTTTCATACAACCGGGTCTATCGATTAAACCCTTAATCTCAAATCTGGACGGGTAGTTTTTGAGGAAATCGAAAATTTCCGAAAAAATGGGCAAAAAGTGAAAAAAGTTCCGAGTTGTGAAGCTTTTCTAAGACCGTAGGGGGTGGGGTAGGGTAAAAATTGCCCTAAATTTCATGCAGGCAGGTAGGTGAAACGCTACTGAATCCATTGGTACTACTTTTATGAGAATCTGACGGGTAGTTTTTTGGGAAAGCGAATTTTTCGAAAAAGCGTTTAAAAAAAAAAAAAAAAAAAAAACCAGATCTCATCTGGAAAAAAAAACGTTTTCATAATACCTGTTTAATAAATCAAACAGGAATTTTTTAAAACCTAAGTTTCCCGAAAAAAAAATTGAAAAAAAAACGTCTTATACCTGAAACTAAAAGGATTTGAGCATTCATATTAAGAGGCAAGATTTGAGACGCCAGGGGGTACGCTGACAATAAGGTTGTATCTTCATCGAGTTGGTAGTTTCAAATTTTTTGAATATCTTTGTAGATAACTAAAAGCATTTGAGCAGTCGCGTTTAGCAGTCGCATGTGGCAAAATTTGCAACTCTTTAGAGTACCGTGACAACACCGAACTATAGCGTTGACAATTTCAAATTTTGAAAAATAATTGATTTGAACTTTCTGAAAAATTTTAAGAAATCACAAAAAACGTCACATCTCGAAAACTACAAAGAATTGAGCAGTCATATTTGGAGGCAAGATTCGCAATCCTTGAGAGTACTCTGACAGGACCTAACTACAGGGTTGGGAATTTCAGATTTTGCGAAAAAAGATTAAGTTTACTAAAATTTTTTTTGAAAAAATCACAAAAAACGTCATATCTCGAAAAATACAAGGATTTGAACAGTAAGATTTGGAGACAAGAATTGTAACTCCTTAGAGTATTCTGACAGCAATAAATACAGGGTTGAGAATTTCAGATTTTTAAAAAATCAAAATAATTTAAGTTTTCTGAAAATTTTTGAAAAAATCACAAAAAACATCACATCTCAAACACTACAATGATTTGAGCAGTCATATTTGGAGGCAAGATTCTTTATCTTCGATAGTACTCTGACAGTACCCAACTACAGGGTTGGGAATTTCAGATTTTTAATAAATAAAAATAATTTAAGTTTTCTGAAAATTTTTGAAAAAATCACAAAAAACGTCATATCTCGAAAACTACAAGGATTTGAGCAATCATATTTGGATGCAAGACTCGCAAGCCTTACTCTGACAGTACCCAACTACAGGGTTGGGATTTTCAAGTTTTGTAAATTATTTCGTTTTTTGAAATTTCTGAAAATTTTTGAAAAAATCTCAAAAATCGTCTTATCTCGTTAACTAAAATGATTCGGACATTCAAAATTGGATGCCAAATTTACTACCCCTAAATCGATTTTGGGCTGCTTAATTTAAACTCGTCAAAATTACCACTAAATTCAAATTGGAAAATCGAATAAAATTCTTAACCATTGCAATATACGATATAGTTTAAACATGCAATAATAATACGTTGAAAAAGCTAACACATGGCGAGATAGTAAAGCCCGCATTTAAATATATAATAGATGATAGATTATAAAATTTACGAGATAGTTAATTTGCACACAGAGGCGAAGCTGAGCTTCGCACCACTTACGATACAAATAAAATGCCTAGGTTCAAAAGATAGATCTCAAATCAAAAGCAAGAAAATAAATATATTGAAGAAATCGTAGAATAAAAAATGAAGAAAAATCTTTTTTCAATTCTTATAGAAAGCCGTTACCTAAAACAATAGAAGGATTGGGGCTACAGAACATTCATTTCTATCTCAAATCGATGAGAAACTCGGTCAAAAGATCAAAAAATTCCTAATTGAATTCAAAAACTTTGCTTAAAATCATACCATCAAACCAGCTGTATGTCCTACAGGCAAACCTAGAGATAAGAAAAGGCTTTATCCTTTGCAAAATATAAACAAAATTTAAAACGAAAAATGAAATTGAAGAAACAAAATTTTAAAAAATGCCTACAAAGTTAAAAAAATGTCACGAA